CCCATACACCAAAAGGTGGTGGTTCAATTCTCAGTCAGGGCAAATGCCCAGGTTTGGGGCTTGATCCCCAGTAGGGGTAGTACAGGAGGCAGCCAATTGATGATTGACGTTTCTCTTTCTCTCCCTTTCCTTTCCTCTTTGTCTAAAATCAATAAAAGCATATTTAAAAAAAATACTATCTCAGAGTTGAAGAAATAATGACCAATTCACATCAAGTTTGTGGTATACAATAGGTATTCAATAATGAAATTTTCTCCTGTGAGAATGGGTCCCAATGAAATAATAAAAAGGAGCAAATGACCTTATCATGGAGATGTAACCTGGAAGCCACCTTTGTGTCCAGCAATAGGAAAAGGCTGAGCAGATTAGGACAGAATATTATACAGCCACTAAAATGTCTATGAAAACCATAAAAGTAGAAAGTTTTCAGAATATTATGTTACATTAGAGGGCTGGTGCATGAAACTCATACACTTGGGGGATGTCCCTCAGCCTGGCCTGCACCTTCTCACAGTCTGGGAGCTCCCCGTGGGATTGGGCCTAAGCCGGCAGTCGGACATCCTTAGTGCTACTGCAGAGGCAGGAGAGGCTCCCACCACCACCGTTGCGCTCACCAGCTGTGAACCCAGCTTCTGACTGAGCAGTCCTCACCCTGTGGGAGTACACTGACCAGGGGGCAGCTTATAGCAAGCGGTCGTTCTGCCATCCACCAAAACCAGCTCTCCAACATCCCCCGAGGGGTCCCGGATTGCGAGAGGGCACAGGCCAGGCCGAGGGACCCCACTGGTGCACAATCAGGGCTGGGGAGGGATACAGGAGGTTGGCCAGCAAGTGAGGGACCATGGGAGGGCTCCAGGGCATCTAGTTCAGTCCTGATCAGCCAGACCCCAGCAACAAGCTAACCTACGGGCCAGAGCATCTGCCCCCTGGTGGTCAGTGCACATCATAGCAAGCAGTTGAGCAGCCTTAGCATATCATTAGCATATTAGGCTTTGATTATATAGGATTAATAAAAAGAAAAAAGATTATATGTATATTGATTATAATTATACTAGAGGCCCGGTGCACAAAAACTTGTGCACTTGCGGGGGAGGGAGGGTCCCTCAGCCCAGCCTGTGCCCTCTTGCAGCCTGGGACCCCTCAGGGGATGACCACCTGGATTCGGCCTAAGCTGGCAATCAGACATCTCCCTGGAAGCCCGGCAGCCCTTGGGGGATGTCCACTTGCCAGCGGGGAGCAGGCCTAAGCTGCAGTTGGACATCCTTAGCGCTGCTGAGGACGCAGGAGAGGCTCCCACCACCACCGCTGTATTGGCAGCCGTCAGCCTGGCTTGTGGCTGAGCAGAGCTCCCCCTGTGGGAGTGCACTGACCACTAG